TCCTCCTTCCTCCTTCTCTTCCCCTCCTTGCTTCCTTCCCCCCCTCCACCCCCCCCCCCCCCCCTTTCACTCCTCCCTCTTTCTCCTTCTCCTCCTCCTTCCTTCTTCCTCCTTCCTCCCCTCTCCCCCCTCCCCACCCCTCCTCATTCTCCTCCTTCCCCTCCTCCTCGTGCTCGAACAATACCAATAAGTCTTTCCGTCTCCTCATCTTCTCTCCTACCCTGCCCCCCCCCGCAACTCTCCCCTCCAATCTCTCCCCTCCTCCTTCTGTTCCCTGCTCCTCCCCAGTCCTTCCCCTTGCTCTCTCTTACTCTCCGCAGCATTCCAAGAGCAGATTACAACACCAGCGACAGGACACAAGTCAAGCTGTACGATCTCTTCCTCCGAGTAGGCGGGCACCCGGACTGTTACATCCCCAAGGTCTTTCACTGATGCCTGCCGAATCATCCGGTGACAGCCGTTACAGGACGAGGTCGGAAGGTTCCTGGACATGACTCTCGACCGTTACACCGAGTTCCTGCTCCTTCAGCTGGGCAAGGAGCTCGGCTGGCCAGCTGGGGTGTGGATAACGCAGTCAGAAGCCCCTCGTGGTCATCGCAGGTACAGAAGAGCCGTTTCGTTCGCCTCCAGGCCCTCCGCTGCTGGAGGAGGAGGAGGAGGAGGAGGAGGAGGAGGATCCGTGTGCGGAGCGGGAGGAAAGTTTTTGCTGAACGGAAGGGCCTCGGTAACTGTCGAGAGCACAGAGGAGAGAGAGGGGCGGGAGAGGGGGCGGGCGACAGCAGGAGCAAGAGAGCGGAAGCGAGGGCCCATCCATCTTCTCACTCTGCCGCTCCGTGGGCTGAGGGCGCTCGGGAAGATACGAGGGAAGAGGAGTTAACAGCAGTTGTTGACAAAGAACAAGTTACAGTCACTAGCCTAGTCTGATCAGCCTGCCAGTCCGCTGGTCCGGTCGATGATCCGTCTTCAGCCTGGCAGCCGTGCTGGCGTACTGCGCAGCGCCTGCACTGTGAGAGTTGGGGCAGTACGGGGGTGACGGAAGTGACTGTGGGCCCTGGCGCGTCCAGCCATGTGGTGTTGTACCTGTCTGTATCGTACAACATCACATGTTCATTTGAGCACATCTGATTCTGAAGAAGGGGCAAGCAGTGATTCTTCTCAGTCTTGACAAGATCAAAATCAGGATCATAACAATGTGATCGAGAGTCAACGTACATGTCGGTCAATCTTCTTAGAGGCTAGAATCCCTCCAACACGTTTATCTCTAAAGCAAATCAAAGAGATCAATCATTGAACCCCTCGAGAGCAGTCGAACTTGGAAAGGCCGAGCATGCGTTCCTTGCTTCAACAACTTTCCAAGACGGCAATCTCCCTGATAGAATGTGATAAGTGAGACGTAAGGGATGACGCGATTCGCAAACAATCCGCATTGCAGGAGCTGGTCCCCCGACCTGGTGACGAATTGCTACAACGGTATAGACATACTTCGCCCATGGGCGCGAACTTCGCAAGTAGCCATGAGACGCCGGCGGCCGTACCCACCAAACTGTCGATCATCGTACCTGGAAGCTAGGGTAGAATCTTTGTAGGCAAAGGTTTTCGCCTTCGCTCCGTGCCGCCCGGTCGTCCATCACTGCCTCTTGATACTCTTCCAGTCTCCATGACTCAAGGAGAAACACCTCCACGCCCCAAACCTGATCATCTTCCCACTTCACCTTGTACCTGGTCTGCATCGATGAAATAAAGCAATCTTCTATTCTCTTTCTTTTTTTCACGCCATCTCATCAACATATGCTGCAACATTTTGTGCGAGTCTTGCAGGAAACCATCCAGTATGAATACATGCTGAGTTTCATTATCCACAGCATTCAGCAGAGCTCACAGGAAGCCAGCATTTGTCTTCTGCAAATCAGTTTCACGTACAGTTTTCCTTGCAGCAATCCACTGAAACATGAAGCCAACTCACCCCCCAGACCTCCCTGTCACTGCAGAGCGAATGCAAGGCCTGCAAGAGACTCCGCTCGAGCTCCTTCTTCTCAACCGCATACTTCTGCTCGAGCTCCTTCTTCTCAACCGCATACTTGTGATTGGTAAGCCATCGCCTCTGCTCCTGGTCTTTGCAGCTCTTGATCATATCATGAGTTTGTGAGACAGACTCGAGCAGCAAGCTCACTAAGTCTCTCTTGCTGTCGTCTGGCTCGTCGTTCCTTCGCAGCTTCTGTCCTCTCGGGACTGATGTTATTGAACCAACTCTATTATGCAGAGAAGTCAAATGATTCGAACTTTATTCTATGATTTCATGGTGTTCTTATGTAGACAAGTCAATTCATGGTGTTCTTATTATGTAGAGAAGTCAAATGATTCTGATTTGATCTCCATTCTTTGATTCATCAGTCATCAGCGGCTTATTATTGAAAAACGATCACCAGTCTTTTACTCAAAGTTAAGTTTAATTAGTACGAGGACAATCAGGAGAGTACTAAAAGTCCAAAAGACAGTAATTACTATTTAGAAGCAGCCGTTATACTGCCCACTGCTGTCCCCAAAACTACTACCACCCGCGCTAGCTGCCTGAGGCGGGCTCGAAAAATGAGTAGGACCGGTCCTAGTACCACTCTATGACCTCCTACATATTGTAGTGGTCTAGTAGTACTCAGATCACTTCAGATTCATACCACAAGACCTAGTCGAGATACCGAAATAGAGCTTTTCCTAGTACCAGGTCTTAGCTTCCTAACGAATATGGTGGATCCTCTGTACCAGCCTCTCTTTTATCACCCCACCCTCAAATTTTTTCACAATTTCTCTTCTTCTTGGGGGTAGGCAGAACCAACTCCCCCCCACCCCTATGCTCATCAATTTTTACCCTACCCTACCCTATAATGTCATAAATTGGTCTTCGATTTCAAAGATGGTTTTATGTTAGATGAGTTTTGAAAATTGTTCTGAACATTTGAAACATAAAACTTATTTCTGTTGAAATAAGAAGCTTATTCAAATAATGTTCAAACCCTTCCTCCAAAGTTTCAAATTAAAAGGAATCAGGAAGTCGGGGTGGGTCTATAAACTTTCTGCTCCGTACCCCAATACCCCATTAGAAACTACCCACCTCAACGCTAAACCATGCACTACCCTACCTACTATGATGTTTTATCCACCCACCCACAGTCCAATCTTCCTTGACCCCTACCCCTGCAAATAAGTACGTTTTTTTTTTTGCCTACCCCCTGGACTCAGTCACCTTTTGGCTCACCAATTATTCAGTACCCCTTGAAACTCCCATCTTTTCACCTACAAATTTGATTGCCTTCTATCCCCACCCTGGTTTTTCATGTACCCCCTGCAACCCCTGAGAACAACAAATCCCGATTCGACTACCCTACCCCTCGTTCACGTACCATCACCCCACCAGGCATTTTCCGTCTTCGCTCACCCCCTGAGCATCACACCACTACCCCTCATTCTTAGGGATAACACCTCTGATCAAACCACGATTCACCACCCCCATATCTCATGTACCACCCAGTGAATAGGTCTCGTCAACCACCCCTACCCTCTTTCCCTAACACTTTTGTTACTCTGTGACACTATGGAGTACCCCCTTTACTATACAACTACCCTACCGTGTATTTGAAATGCTATACCCCACCCCTCACTTTGGCCTTCTTCTCCCGCCCCCTCCCGCCGCCGCTCAATGCTGGCTCCTCTTGCATCTTCTGAAAGCGGCAGTATCAGCCATTGCGCGTTCTCATAACCCGTTCATGCTTTCATGCTGTCCTGATAGCTCTATCTCAACGACCCTTCCTCCTCCCTGCTTCTGCCATATTTCCTTTTCCTCTTCCATCTCTCATCCGAATTGTTCCCTCCTTCAGTTCTCGACCACTGTATGCAAGACTCCATTCTGGCTTCTTCTCACCCCTTCATCAAACTTTTGATTTGATATCGTCGTAACATTCATTATCATTCATTCTAGCCCATTGAATTTCTGTACGCTATGCTCGAGTAGTCAGAACAGCTCAAATGGTCAGCAAGTCGTATTGCACGATGTTTTCCTAGCTCTGGGTGGATCAAGGCAGAGTTTACGTTTGGATGCATTAACGTGTGATAGTGCATGAAAACTGTAACTAACGTGGTAACTTAAGTTTCCATTTCACGAACTTTTGTTATGTTTGTCAAATGTTGAAAACCAATTCTGTCACGTTCTCACTTTCTTGCAGTGGCAAGAGCGGACCTGTACAGTTTGTAAATTGTGGATCAGATGGCCTGACATACACGGGGAATGCCTTCATTTTGATCATTGTATCTGGACACATTGTGCAATTCCATCTGTAAAAACGAACTGTAAAAACTGTAAATCTGTTGACGATCAACGGAGATAAAATGAGTGAAGAATACGAGGATGTTCTCCTACCAGGTACTGACTCAGACTGTCAAAGCTCACGAGACTGAGACGTGTTTACCAGGTACTTCTGTATCTAACAGCGGGCAGCATAGAGCTAGAAGGTAACTCAGAGATGGACATCTAAACTTGATTTGAGGGTTTCCCCAGTGCCCCTCCGGCAGTTGCTACCAACATGGCTTCCTTCGGCTTTGCCCCCTTTACGGACACAACTGACAGTCCATCAAACAATGTTGCTGACCAACAACTCAGGGCGAGCTTAGGTACTATTTTCTTCTGCGAAATTATACCTTTGCTCAAGATGTATTGCAATCGGATTTCTTTTGGTTCATTCGTTTCTATATACCTTGACACTTGCCTGCAGAGTATTACAAATACTATCACTCTCAGAAACCGATTGATCCAAGACTTCCTCCACCTTTGTATGATTGGAGGTAGAGAAATCGTTCGAGAATCTAGAGGAATTTATAGTTGTGTAGTGCACACGTCGACCTCCATGCCGACTCCGATTTCCTCCAGAGGTTTGACAACATGGGGATCCAAGACGGTCAAAGGTGCAGAAACTGTCTAAGAATCTTGTTGTGTGACCAGCTATACAGGGCAATGGATCCCAACTCTAACCTCTACTACAGTGAAGAGGGTGTGGGACTCCTTCCACATCGAGAAGAGGACGAATCATGGTCCCATGGTGTCGTGGAAGGTGCTGGAGAGGGTCAGGGCAATGTATCAAAAGCTAGTGGCAAGGAGTCTGAGAAGCATGCCTCTGGTAACTTTAGACTTTCGCTGCTGAATCAACCGTTTTCCTTGCTTCGTTCCTCACCTTTTGCTTTGCGCTGTGCAGGTTTACCCAACCTTCACAAGAGCGTTATAGATCGCATCCAAGAAGATTTTCCGAGGTATATTACTTGATCTTGACCCAATTCAAACTTATCCTTCGCTTCCAGAACCCCTTCTCCAGTTTTTGCTTTGACAGGGGGAGTGCCCCCTAAACCAGCGCACTCCAAACCGCTTCCGTCGCCTTCGAATAAGGTAACATCTTGTATTCTGCGTCGTCTGTGTCGTGTAAACTGCTGCTAATCAGGGAAAGAAGAATATGCACGTCATAGAATCAGAAATACGTGAACAGGTTTCATCCTGGGAGGCGTGAATGTAGATGGTGTGGGACTTACAAATGACATTCAGCAACGGGTTGAAGCAGGGTCCATGAATTACAGAACACTGGATTCTAGCAAGATGACTCCTCTGATGGGCGCTCTTCAAGATTCTGGATTTCAAGGGCTGAACTCGGGTAGAATCACGCTACCACCAGGGATGCAGCAGGTAAACTCTTTCACCAGCTCCGCGAAGTGTGCATTTGTATGACGTAACTTTTTACAGACCTTGGATATGGTGCAAGAGAGTGCAGAGGAGGAATACTCCAGAAGCTCCGACACGTCTGATGACAGGCCGATCGGGAGGCACGATAGCAACGAGGCTTATGCCGGAATCAACTGGATGGGATCCAACATGGAGAACAATCGAATGGGCAATTTGGGCAATGTTGATTTGCAGGTTGTTTGCGAGAGAGACATATTGCTACTGTGTGAGACTTCTAATATTCACTGTATACAGCATCAACTTGCAGCTCAGCTTCTCCTGCAGGTAATTTTGAAACGAATTGATCAGCGACATCTTCTGACTCTCGTGAACCAAACAGCAGCAGCAGCAGCAACAGCAGCAGCAGCAGCAGCAGCAACAGGTCTGAGTGATTGAAATCCAGGAAGGTTGTGTAAATTTTTGAATTTTTTAGACACAGCAACATTATGGACTTCCATCGAATCTCATGGGCTATGGAAGTAATTTACCCCCCGGATACCCACAGGTGGCACGACAATGGGGCTGAATTCGATTGCTGATTTATTTTGCGTGTAAAGGCTGGTGCAAATATGATGCCAGGAATGGCAAATCTTGCAACTGGAGGACTGAGGAATAATAATGTGCCATTCTCTGCTCAAATGGGTATGATGCAAGGAATGCCTCAGAATCAAATGTCGCCCATGGGCATGGGCTCGTTTCAGGTGTGCCTTGAACCTCGATTGCACATGTTTTTGAGACCTTCTTTTTCAAAGAACCCTGAGATGGAACAGCAAATATGGGCTCAACAAAGCGCTGGAGTAGCGGGACTGAACTCAGGCTTGGGTGGAGGGATGTCCAATCTGAACTCTGTTGCAATGCAAGGAATGATGGCAAATTTCTCAATGGGTGGTATGCGCGCTGGAGCACCTGGAGTTCAAACAGGAATGCAGGTATGCGCATTACCTCAGAAGTTGTGGTCCTGACAGGTCTTGTAGAACATGGCTGGTATGCAAGGGATGCCCAATATGGGAGCTGGTAGGGTTTTTTTTTTCATGATGGGGTTGTGGTAATTGTGACGATTTGCACAGGAATGAATCCGGCTGTTATTTCACAGATGAAAGCAATTTTTGATCAATTCGGAGGTGCGAATGTAGCACAGCAGATGCATCCTCAGATGCAGGACATGGACAGCGTGCTTGGCCACATGCATCAGTTGCAGAACATGAGTCTTGGAACTCCAGGCCACGCCGGCTCGAACGTGCCGAGTGGCATGCTCAATCACCAAGAGCAAGGGATGCGCGGGCGTCACTACAGTGGTGGAAAGTCTCATGGTGGAGATAGGGGCGGCAGATATCCAGGAGACAGTCAGCGCAGTCCTTTGCTGGAAGAGGTATGTCAATGACGCTGGGTTTTACAACTCACGCTTGCTGTTAGTTTCGCAGCGCGAAGGCCCGTAAGCTCGAATTACGTGACATTCTGTCCCATTGCGAGGTCACTGAGAGCAGAGTGCCTTTGAACGAGTTGACCGTGTTACAGGAGTTCTGTCGCGATCAGCATGGATCCAGATTCATCCAGGTGCTTCTGTTACTTTGGTTGATAGCTTCCGTAAATTTCCTTTACAGACAAAGCTGGATGGTGCCAATGCTCAAGACCGTCAACTCGTATTCGAGGCCCTGCTTCCCAGGTGTGAAAATGAGACAGAGCTTGGAGCCCCTGACTCGTTTTCTAGTTCCGTGGGATTGATGACTGATCTCTTTGGAAACTATGTTGTGCAAAAATTTTTGGAGAGAGGTGATGGATCGCGCTCTTCCTCTCTCTGATTTCGCTGACTTCGATTGTGAAGGCACCATGGAACAAAAGCACGCTCTTGCTGACTGCATGAGGACCAAAGTATGTCAAATGAGATCTCGTGAAGAATGGCAGGAATCGCCTGACTTGTTCTATCCCCCAGGTGCTTGAGTTGTCACTGGACATGTACGGATGCCGTGTAGTCCAGAAGGCTATCGAGGTGACGGGCAGCTTTTGACAGCCTGGAGCCTTGGCTGAAGCATCCCGTAGGTGATCGAAGGGCCGAGACAGGAGCAGCTCGTTCGAGAACTGCAAGGAAATGTGATGAAATGCGTCAGAGATCAGAATGGAAACCATGTCATCCAGGTCCTAGACGAAGAATGCATGATTGTCAATGACCTGCAAGATAGAAATGTATCGAACGCTCGGCGCCTGAGACCGTGCAATTCATTGTCGAAGATTTCATCGGGCAGGTTTGGATCGCAACTGTATTTTGGCAGGGATGTTCACTTGTGTTTCAAGGTGGTGCAACTGGCGATGCATCCTTACGGCTGCCGAGTCATCCAGCGTATCTTGGAGCATTGCAAACATGATCAGGTGAGCACGAACAGAGGTGATTTCAAGGGGATGGGTGGAGCTGAAGCCTGTGGGTTAGGTTGCTCCAATCCTCTCGGAGATAGTGAGAAGTGCAAAGGAGCTTGTTCACGACCAGTATGGCAACTATGTTGTACAGGTGAAGCATGAGCTGACCTGACGCCTCGTGGTATGACGGCTGTGTCGCAGCATGTGCTCGAGCACGGTAGAGGCCAAGACCGCGAAGCTATCCTACAGAAGTGCGAAGGACAGATCGTGGCGATGTCGCAGGTTCTTGCGTACCAAGTGTTCCCCCCTCATAATTGCTGACTTGTTTGTCTGATCAGCACAAATTCGCATCCAATGTCGTCGAGAAGCTGCTGCAGGTCTTGCTTGTGACGTGCGAGCTCGAATCCTGCTGACCCGATGCTCGAAACATGCAGTTCTCGGACGCAGAAACACGAGCGGTGAGTGGACCTGAAGCTGTGCGCCTGTGCCTTGCTGACAGTGAGTGCAGAGAATTCTCGATGAAGTCACTGGCAACCAGCCCTCGGGTGCCCCGTCGGTCTTGGACATGATGAGGGATGCCTATGGTACCTCTCACGCTCGTCACGTCAGTTGATTCACAACCCTGTCCTCAGGCAACTATGTTGTACAAAAGGCTCTGGACGTGTGCGAGGGTGTCGGTCAGTCGATTCTGTAGAGCCTGACGAGTCTTGACTCTTGTGCCGTCAGACCGCGCGCGTCTCATCGCCGCTATCAGGGAGCATCTTCCCGCCGTCAGGAAGTCAGTCGCTGTCTCCCCTGCCTCCCTGCCTCACCCGCCCTGCAGGTTCACGTACGGCAAGCACATCATCGCGCACATCGAGAAGCTGGAGGCCATGGCGAAAGGCTACCCGAGCGACAACTACGGCAACCAGATGATGATGATGCCTGACGCCGGCATGGGCTACGTGGGCTGCATCGACGACATGCAGGCACATGGTCAACAAGGTGTGGCAGGTGGTGAAGGCTCGTGCAGTCAAGAGACTGATGCCAGCGCAGGGCTCATGCAGATGCAGCAGATGAACGCCATGGGGCTTCATGCGGACCAGAGCTGACGGGAGGAGGGAGGAAATGGGCTTGAAGGGGAGGAAGGGAAAGCCAGTGTAGAACATCTGTTGCAGGTGTTGGACTGGCAGAGACATCAACTCCATCGTTTCATCATGATCGTTCGTCATCGAAGTGTACAGATGTGAACAGAGTGTCGACGGCATGTTAAGAGAATGTTTCAAATATTGTATACACGTGTACAAGAGCCGAAATCTCAAATGTAATTACAAGACCTGCGGCTCGAGTATTGATTGGTAAAGGAGACAGGGAGAGCCGCTGTAAAACTTGCCGGCGTTCCTGGAATGTTTTGTATACTGTGTCTTATTCTTGTAGAGTTGAGTAGATTCTCTGTATTTAGGACCCTGTTGAAGACTTTTCTAAGTTTTTCTTTGACTATAAATGATCCATTTATCTAAACACCAACAGTTCTCCTCCTCTATCTCCTCCCGCACTCACTTGCCGTTACTTCCAGCGTTGTCATCCTGGTTTCCCTTCCTTCTTCTCGTTACCCTGCTCTACCTCTCCTGTCAGAGGAAGGTTTCGTCACTGCACCTCCTGCTCCCGTCATCGGCCTCTACCTTACTCTCCCACCATCACCAGTCGCAGCTCTGTGCCGTCTGCATGCCGCAAGATCACGGTGTCGCTCTCCTGCCCTTCTTCAAGTTGCGTACTGATCAACTCTTGCCTTGTCATCGGCTCCAGCACGATCTCCTCTTGTTCCTGCTCCCCTTGCCCGACGTCTTCGCCATCCCCCGTAGAAGGACCAACGTAGAACACCCGCAGACGCACTTCCTCCTCCCCGAGGTTCGCCAAGTGCAACGTGATTTTCTTCCCCCTCCTCACTCGGTACTTTCGCTGCATGTCGCCAGTCTCAACAGCCTTCAGCCTCCTCTCATCCTCGTTCTCTTCCTCAACTACCACCACCTGCAGCTTCAGCCTGCTGATCCCACAGAAGTCGTGGATCTCGTCCAGCGTCAGCTGAGCCAGGTTCTTCCTCTCCTCCTCAGGAGCAACCAATTCGGAGTCTGAACCTCTGGAGACTGAACCTCTAGGGCGAGGCATCCGTCGTGGAGGAGCAGGGGCTGTACCACCATGATCCTCTCCAACTTCTCCTGCTGCTCCTTGCTGAGATGCTTCTCGTCAAGGATGAACATGCGGAGGATCGCAAACTCCTCGTCGTCCTGCTGCGTCAATACGATCCCCTCGCGGATCATCTCCATTACCATCTCCTTTCTCTTCGCCCTCGCCAGTGCGTCTCCCTCACCTGCCAACCCCTCCTTGCAGCTCACCGCAAACAGCTCACCGAGCTATTCCAAACGTCAGTACTCCTCCTCCTCCCCCTCCTCCTCCTCCTCCTCCTCCTCCTCCTCCTCCTCCTCCTCCTTCTCACCTCTGCTTTCAGCCCTTGCCTTCCCTGCTCACGTCGGGCAGCGGTGCTCGTTGCACCGGTCCTCGTATTAGCCAGGCCCCTCTCTGCAAGGGCGTCGAACCAGCTCCTCACGCTCTTCCACTTCCCCGGCTGCTCCCCCCTCCAGCAGTGGCTCGTGACGATGCTCTCGAGCCCGGCATCCCTCACCCGCATGTTCACCTGTTTGTCCTCCTCCATCAGGTTGAGGAAGACGCTGCCGAACACGCGAGGCATGCGGAGCAGGACGACGTAACTTCCCTCATAGATCACCTCCTGCTTGATCGGCTGATACCTGAGGCCCCACCTGCTGTCGCGGAGGAAGTCGATCACGTTCTCAAAGAAAAACTCGACGGCAGCTCCGTTCACTGTGGGTTTGCTGAAGGTCTCCTTGAACTCCTCGAACAGTTGCTTCACCTGCTCCTGCTCACTTATGTGGGAGGAGTTGTACATCAGCCAGCGAGAGACGAAGAGCACAGCGGCAAACGCCCCCCTGCTGTGCTCGTCTATCAGTCGGAAGCTCTCGTACCAGTCGAGAGCTTCGAAGAGTTCTTCATACGACATGCCGAACACGTGGTCGTTCAAGGAGGCGGCCTCGTCCTCGTCCTGGCAGCAGTGGTAGGAAGTGAAGATCTGAATGAGTTGCGTGCCGAACCAGCTAAAAACGACTTGAGAATTACCACGGGACTCGTAGAGGTCTCGCAAGTGGTTGTGCTTCCCATCATTCAGATGGCTGGGCGACACACTCACAGCTTCCCTCAGGATGGTGTGCAGAAGAGAAGCCAAGGACCTTTCTCGGTGGATCTCAGCGCTACAAACACTGCTCTCCATCGTTCTTGCTGCTTCTCGCAATCCGGGTTCCACAGGACCTGCAGAGAAAGCAAGCATGTCGCTGGTGGAGGATTGAGGCATTTCTTTGGCTTCTCTCCCATCGTCTTCATCCCTATCGGTCCTTGTTGGGCCGATGCCTCTTGACTCTATCGGGCAGACTCGCTTCGCCTCTTCCTCATCGGTGTCGCTGCTACTGAGATCTCGATGCCTCGTCCTTAAGAACAGATAGCTCACCTTGTCGATCTTTGAAAATATTTTTTTCACCTCTATCTCCGCATCTTCCTGGCTCATCTTACACACAGTTTGATAATTTCCAGTCAGCCAAGTCTTCTCCGACTCCACTGCTTCTATGGACGGCCAATGCATCATCTTGATGGCCGATAGTTGATCATCGCTTATCCCCGGAAAGAAACTCCTCAGTCTATCTTCGTCGACGATGCACTTTTGACCAGAGTCGACTCGGCAAGCCTCGTTGATTCGATCCATCACTTGCTCTGTCGACGGTTCTCCTCCCTCTGCAAAAAAAACATATCATCTTTCACCGACTCTCCCTCCCTCCTCCTCCCTCACCCTTCCAAAGCTTTCTTATCGCATATGCTCCTCGAAAGAACTCGTGCCACTTGTTGACCTTATGTTTACAAGCGCGTTCAGCCACTGCCTGGCCACCACAGACATGGATAGGGTTGGCCCATCTCTTGCCGTCGTTATTGGAGTGTTTGGTCAAAGGGCATGTGTGGCAGAAGAGAAAATCTTTCTTGCATGAGGTGCATCTGTGCGTCGCAAAGTGCTGATTGACCTCCTGTCTCGAGATCTCGAAGGGAGGAACCTGCTTCCCTTTCATATCACTAAAAAACAGGTCCCGGCTGCTGTTGAACGCTATTTTGATGATTTCTTTCATTTCATGGTTACATAATCCCATGGCTGTACTCGAAAGGTCCTGAGGAGGAGGCACAGGGAATGTTAGACAGAATCATTGTTGTTCCCCTCCTCCTCTCTATCCCATCCATGGCATATGTTAGACAGAATCATTGTTGTTCCCCTCCTCCTCTCTATCCCATCCATGGCATATGTTAGACAGAATCATTGTTGTTCCCCTCCTCCTCTCTATCCCATCCATGGCAAAGGGTGATCAGGATTTTCCCGTCAAAGTGCCTTTTTGGCGCCGTCTGCCAATCCCATAGCAACTTCAGGGCACTATACTAGCGGAATCATAACCGACTACTCTATGCCCTTCGTATCAACTGACTATTACCATTCAATCTTCTTTCTACTTCGCCCTCATCTGCACTCAACTGTGAAGAATGCCCTTGCCCCTGCCCCTGCCCCTGCCCCTGCCCCTGCCCCTGCCCCTGCCCCTGCCTCTCTTTCTGATCCTGCCTCTCTTGCTCGTCCTCCTGCTCGTCCTCCTGCTCGTCCTCCTGCTCGTCCTGCTCCTGCTCTGCTCCTCCTGCTCCTCCTGCTCCTCCTGCTCCTGCTCCTGCCCCTGCTCCTCCTGCTCCTCCTGCTCCTCCTGCTCCTCCTGCTCCTCCTGCTCCTCCTACTCCTCCTGCTCCTAGTTCCGCTTCCGTGGTCCCATCCCAGCATTCCCTCATCCGACCCCTCTAGACACCCACCCCGCGAACACCCTCCATACACAAGTGTACCCCCTCATCTGGAGATCATCCCTTTTTCTGATATATACCCCTACTTTTCTCTCTCTGAACCCTACCTTTTGGACGTGAATTACAGATGTCCATGACAGATGACCCCTACATTTATCAACACAGCACCCCCTGATCCCAAGACACACCCCAGCTTTGACTACCCCCACCCCTCTGTATCTAGTCCACCTTCTCTTCCTCTCCAGTACCACCCCTGTAAACCCCTGGAAGTACCCCACCCCTGATAGAGTCGGAGGTGGCCCCGACGATGGAACACTTGAACGGTGCGGGCCCGGCGGCCCCCGGTGCTCGGATCGCCGGGACTCGGGCCGGACCGTACGGTACGGTAGGCAGTACGGTCCGGTACGCCGGTCCGGGACCGTCTCCGGGAATCACGACGGCACGGGTGACGGGCCGGCCCCCGGCGAAAGGGCGGCAAGTTGAAGTGATTCGGGCCCCGGGGCGCGGCACTGCGGCAGTCCGACCGTCGGACGGTCTCCGACTCAACGCCGGGGCCTCACTGCGGCACAACCGGGCACCCGGCCCAGTGGGACGGTGAATCACTGTGATAGCCCGCTCATGAATGATCCGCCGGAGTCCGGAGTCCGGCGCTCCCAGGCTCCCATCCGAAGGCACGGCCGTGGACTCCGGGAAGGCGCCGTCGGTCCGATCGAGTCCGTGAGTCACGACACCTCAGTCGAAGCTGACGTCACGGACTCGGATCACTGCCTCAGCACTGCGGCAGTGCCACGGTGACGCCTGCCAGTTTTACTCAAAGTTAAGTTAAAGATCAGTACGAGGACAATCAGGAGAGTCGAGGAGGCTTGACCTTGACACTGTCGCACAGGCCAAACGGCGAGAAGAGAAAAGACAGCGAGAACCAAACCCAATCCTGCCTCAGTGACTGCTGTCCCCCAAACTTAACTGATACCCTCACTTAACGGCGCGCAGCCAGTGATGTCATCATGATACTTATTACTACACTGAGCCATCACCGCGTGACCCGGTCACGAATGTTCTGGATATGTCTGACACCACCCGCCGTTCCTATGTGCGGGTAATTGAGGGGTGGTGGGGGTGGTAGCGGGGGAGAGTTATTGCATTGACTGTCGAAACAGCTCCTTGTCAGAGTTTCGTATCTTCATCCTTCAAGATATCCCTCCTCCCTCCTCCCTTACCTCCTCCCTCCTCCCTTACCTCCTCCATCCTCCCTCTCTTGCTTGCCACAACCTCCTCCTCCATCGCTCCCCATGACCTCTCCTATCACTCCCCTCCCCGTCTTCCTCTCCTACTTCGGCTGCAACGCTTCTCCAGCCGTCGTCTCAACTCCCGACAACCTCGTCACTGGCTACAACTACCTCCCTTCGTCCGCCCGAGGCCTCGCACACACCGTCGACGGTCAGGCGCCCCACTTCCCAGCAGCTTGCCCAAGCACCAGCAAACCATGCCATGCCTGCGATCCGGCATTGAGTCCGAGTCAACCAAGGACGAGCCTGCGCAGAGACGACGCATGGAAGCTTTCAAGACCCGGACAGCAGCGCGAGTCAGGACAGACATGCGGGAGTCAGAGCATAGCAATGGTATGGGCGAGGGCGAGGATGAGGAGAGACGGAGGATGGGAGGAGGTGGAGGTGGTGATAGTGGTGTGCTACCTTTTGGATGGGATGCGGAGGGGATAAGATTTGTACTTGTAGGGTATGAGAAACTTTTGATGTGTGTGAATAGATGAGAGAGGGAAGGGCTTGATGGTCTACACACTGCGTGATCCATCCACGTCGCTGCTTCCTCACTCCCTCCCATCCTCTCCCTCCCATCCTCTCCCTCCCATCCTCTCCCTTCCATCCTCCTCTCCCTCCCATCCTCTCCCTCCCATCCTCTCCCTCCCATTCTCTCCAAGTATCTGCCACCTCTCTGTAGCACTCTCCTTGCCTCCCTGCTGTCGAAAAAGGGAAGCAGCTAATGCGCTTGTCGTACATTTGCATTAGATGGAGGAAGGAGGGAGTGAGGGGGAAAGGCCCTGACTCGAGGGGGAGAGGGAGGGAAGAGGAGGGAGGGAGGGGGACGGAGGGGGACGGAGGGGGACGGAGGGAGGGAGGGAGGGGGACGGAGGGGAGAAGTTCGGCAGGGAGAGAGTCCGTTGGCTGTCGTGCTGCTGCTCCATGACGCAAGCCCAAACGACTTTCTGCCGCCGACATCAGCACAGGATAACTTGGGTATGAGGACGATTGGCTTGCCGTCCGACAAAAAGAAGGAGCAGATTGGTTAGGAAAGAGGAAGAGAGAAGAGAGAAGAGAGTGACAGGGAGCAGGGAAGGGCATTCAAGCTTTATTAAAAAACGTGTAGAAGGGATACAAGGTTTGACAGGGCCGGTGGTGAGGAGGGGGACGAATGAGCTCAAGGAGGTGATAAAGGCTCGAGTGCGATCAGGTTGGAGGTAGCGAGAGCGCTCGGTAGTGCTTGCCTGCTACCGCATATCCTCGCGATCCGCTGCTGCATTCCCCTTGCTGGTCGAGTGTTGCTCTTGCCAACTGGCGTGCTCCAGTGGGGGGCAACATGCGAGGCTGCGGCTTGCTGCGAGGGCTGCACGAGATGGTCTGGGAAGAGTCGAGCCAGCAGACCTCTCCCTTCCCGCCTCGCTCCTCGTGATCGCTGTGCGTAGGATCCTCCCCAGCCCAGTCGACGGGCTCGCAGGCACGCAATGACTCGAAGTCGGTGACGAGGTTGCGTTGGTGGGAGACGACGGCCGTGAGGGGGCTGGAGCCGTAGAAGGAGAGGAAGAGGGAGAGGGGGCAGGGGAGAGGAGCAGGAGGCAGCATCGAGCTTGTGGAGGGAGGTCGGGCGGCAGTGAAGGGAGGGAGGCAGGGAGGGAGGAGGAGTTGGTGGTGGGAGGGAGAAGATGAGTGAGTTAAAAGGGGGCTCAGGGGGGCCTGGATATCTTATTTCACAACGATTCGGTGGGGCAACCCTGCAGGAGTAAAATGGATTCTATCCGGGACTCAGCTGCTGACCGGAAACTTATGACTGACGGGAGAGGTGAGGGCGGTCAACATATCCTTCACCCAACTTCTCTATCAAGCCGCACGTGACTGCGTCATCAGCCTCCGAGTCAGGCGCGTTTTCGGAAGTCACTGGTACCAGTACAGGCCCCACTGGTGATTCAGCGGCTCGAGGGACTCGAGGGGCTCGATGTGAACGGTACCCGGCCGCTGTTGTTGTAAGCTTGACAGATTCAACCGTTGACAGATGGCGCCGTCGGTGGCAGCGTGATCAGTCGGACCGAATCGACACACTGTGACACGTGATGTGAAGCTGACCTCCGTGCCATACTGCAGCCTGTCAGCCAGATACAACAACGCTTCGGGGGTCACACGCGTGCAAAAAGACTCCTTTCCGTAGGGGACTGTACCAGGAATCTACTAGGTTACGTGACCTGCTTTCCGGTGACTCAACTTCATATAAGAAGTTCGTCCTACAAAGTTGAACCCACGGCAGCCCTTCCTTCCTACATCCTACGTCTCCTCCCCCTCCCTCCCTCCCTCCCTTCACTGCCGCCCGACCTCCCTCCACAAGCTCGATGCTGCCTCCTGCTCCTCTCCCCTGCCCCCTCTCCCTCTTCCTCTCCTTCTACGGCTCCAGCCCCCTCACGGCCGTCGTCTCCCACCAAGACAACCTCGTCACGGACTTCGAGTCCTTGCGTGCCCGCGAGCCCGTCGACTGGGCTGGGGAGGATCCTACGCACAGCGATCACGAGCAGCAAGGCGAAGAGGGAGAGGTCCGCTGGCTCGACTCTTCCCAGACCATCTCGTGCAGCCCTCGCAGCAAGCCGCAGCCTCGCATGTTGCCCTCCACTGGAGCACGCCAGTTGGCAAGAGCAACACTCGACCAGCAAGGGGAATGCAGCAGCGGATCGCGAGGATATGCGGTAGCAGGCAAGCACTACCGAGCGCTCTCGCTACCTCCAACCTGTGATCGCAACCCATCGTAAAGTTCTCTGCAAGGGCGAGCTCTGATCACTGGTCATCAGGAGGAGAACCCCTGGTGGGCGACAGAGAGCGCACAATACGGGTGGTGTCTCCTGTGGCGGTACGAAATTCTGGACCTAGAGGAGGAAGAGGCAACAGATCGTAGTTGGTGCATGCCACAGATGCTCGCTCGTGCGCAAGAACCCTCACTGCCCTTGTGGTTTATCTTGACTGTAACTAGAATGGTCGACGCTCCTTGAGGATGGGTCTAGCCCCTTCCTTTCATAGTATGTGTCATAATGCTATCGTGATCGTGTTTGTGTGCATTTCAAATAAATTTGATATTTATCCATCGTTCATGTGTCATTGCAGTGAGTGCCTTCAGCAGTCTCTGTAGAGATTCTGCAACCCGTAAAAACATTCAAGAGCGTGTGTGATTCAAGCTGATCGCTCTTGAACTTGCATTTCCTCTTTGCGCTCGCTTCCTCTCTCCTTTTCACCGCCAGCAGTTCTTCAACTTACACCTTCCTATTCGACATTTTTCAATGGCCTTAACCTCAATTCAGCGCAATGATGCGAATGGATCACGCAGTGTGTAGACCATCAAGCCCTTCCCTCTCTCATCTATTCACACACATCAAAAGTTTCTCATACCCTACAAGTACAAATCTTATCCCCTCCGCATCCCATCCAAAAGGTAGCACACCACTATCACCACCTCCACCTCCTCCCATCCTCCGTCTCTCCTCATCCTCGCCCTCGCCCATACGATTGCTATGCTCTGACTCCCGCGTGTCTGTCCTGACTCGCGCTGCTGTCCGGGTCTTGAAAGCTTCCATGCGTCGTCTCTGCGCAGGCTCCTCCTTGGTCGATTCGGACTTGTTGCTGGATCGCAGGCATGGCATGGTTTGCTGGTGCTTGGGCAAGCTGCTGGAGAGTCGGGCACCTGACCGTCGACGGTGTGTGCGAGGCTTGGGGCGGATGAGGGGAGGTAGTTGTAGCCAGTGATGAGGTTGTCGGGAGTTGAGACGACGGCTGGAGAAGCGTTGCAGCCGAAGTAGGAGAGGAAGACGGGGAGGGGAGTGATAGGAGAGGTCATAGGTAGCGATGGAGTTTGGCTAACGGTAGGCTGGGAGCCAATGGATGAGGAGCCCGAACGAGGAGGAGGAGGAGGAGGAGGAGGAGGAGGAGGAGATGGTGGTGGTGGAGGAGGGTGTGAAGTTGAGGGAGTGGCCGAGAGAAGAGGGGGTTTTGTGAGTTGGGAGGCCGAAACCTCGTCGGTTCGACAGTCAATACAAAAACTCACCCCTACCACCCACCCCACATACCCCTGACTTCTCCCTATGGAACAAGGGGTAATCACGGACTCACCCGCCGAAGGTGACAATGTAGTTACACCTGGCTTGTCAGCTGCTGACGGGGCCTTACAGCATAAAGATGCGTCCCATGGTCAGCAGGGGCCACTGGGCCAGTTTACTACCAGATAAATGAGAGATACACGAGATTGGTCACGATCTGATATGAGTTCAGCCTGCCAGTTATTATTATCAGTACCGCCCATGTGCTAGTCACGAGTCGGCCTAGGTTCACGTACCCTCGGCTCCCGGGTCACCGGGTCCACTGGCCGTCGCCGCAGTCAGAACTACCCCGGTCCTTCTACTACCGTACTTGGCCGCAGCGTGACTCAAACGTGACCCAGTGACCGACCGCCGGGCCCGGGTTGCTGATGAGTTAACTCCGGGTGAACCGTGACGGTGCGTAACGTGGCAGTGTCGGCCCGTCACGGGGCGTTGAACCGTGGACTGGGAACAGGCCCAACTTCGCGGCCTCCGAACCCTCGGGGCCTAGCAGGCTGGCTGTGGGTCTGCCGCCGATGTGACTGGGTCCGAATCTGAATACACCGTGACTACTGTTCTGCTACTCGTCTACTGTTACGGTCAACTGAGGCTTCCGCGGCGCGGAGATCGAACTTGGAACCGTTGAACTGAATTCGAACAAGTTTATCTACAGGGTTTCTAGTACTTCTACATCGACGTCTTCCTCGCAAGACTATCACTATCTGATCACTATCACTATCACTATCACAGTCTCAGGCTCCCGAAAGGGAGATGGAGTTGGGGAAGAGAGGATGGAGGTTGAAAGAAGAGCACTGGACCTCGACCAGCGGCGAAAGCTGCTTTGGCAAGTACTCGGCAAAGCTCTGCACGAGAGGTAAGAGAAAGAAAGGAAAGGAAAGCGGGTAGCAGGTGGGGAGAGGAAGTAAGACCGGTCAGGAGGTGAGGAGGTGAGGAGGGGGTATCATGAGCTGTACGCCACCTGAGAGTCGAGGATGTTTCTAGGAAGAATCATTGAGAGAGCTGAAGAAAGCTTGCCGTCCTCCTTGGAGGCGATGTGCTCCGTCCGAAGCTCGTCAGCTGTACCATTCCTTACAGGAGACAGCGGCTTGCTCTGTTGAGATGTTCAGTGTGCAGAAATGAAGACAAATGAAGGAATAGGGAGAGGACGAGGAGACCGCAGAATGGAGGACAGAAAAGGGGGCATGAGACAACGGGAAGCAGGGATAGATCTGACCTGCTTGCGGATGAGTCGGGCACTTACGCTCATGTCATTTGCAGGCTTGTCCGCGATGAGCAGCTGAGCCTCGGGGCAGAGCACGTTGAAGTCGCTGCGGAAGCTGCCTGCTGCCTTGCTCTTGAGCAGCTCTCTGAGCGCGTTGGAGGAGGGAGAGCCCGGGAGTGGCATGGTGCGGTAGCGCGTGGGGACAGCATCGATGCTCTTAGTCAGTGCGTTGGAGGTAGCGAAGGTGAACTCGGCATCAACATGAACCTGCGAGTGAAAGAGTGAGGGAGGAAACTTTCGGCGAGGAAAGAGGAGGGATGATGAAACACGGGAAGGTCAGGGAGAGGGAGGAGGCAAGGAGTTCGAAAGAGGGAGGAGGTCCAGCGCAAGTTGGAAGGAGGAAGAAGGAATGACCTCATCCTTGTCTTTGACGAACTCTTCGTTCAACTCCTTGAACTCAGCGAGGTATCGACGCCTCACGCTCTCGATGTCTGACAGGAAGTCGCAGTTTGACAACACCTGGGGGCAAGTGAGTGAAGGTGTGTGGACCTGGAGGAACGACGATGACAGGAGCAGAAGCAGGAGCGAGACATTGAGGAGGGGAGGACAAGACCAGCCAACAAGCTCGAGAAAGCATTTCGAACACAATCCAACGAGACAAGATCCATTCATGCCACACTGTCCACCTGCACGTTCTTACCTCCATGTCAGCAAGCTTGTAACACAGGCGTGAGAACAAGGATGCGGGGGCGTGGATCTGCCCGACGAGATGGTCGAGCAGTGTGACGATCAGGAGCTGCTTCTTGTCCAGGGTGTACGCGTTCCTCGTGTCCTCATCTGGAGCCACAGACAGGAGTACACGTCCTCCTTTCCGTCCTGCCCAATCTCACGTCACCATAGCACAGCTCGCGCACAAAAGCTCGCGCACCATGATCGCTGTCGGGGTAGGGGATGCCTGAGAACTCGACAGCTGACGAGCGAGGCACGTAGAGCTGAGGGAGGCGCTCCTGCGGTTCTCGTCAGACGATTCGATATTAACGCCCTCTCCTCCTCCTCCTCCTCCTCCTGCTCCTGCTCCTTCTCCTCCTCCTCCTCCTCCTCCTCCTCCTGCCTCTCTATCAGTCTCTACCTGCACGATGTCGACAGAGGAGAAGCACATGCCAGCAATGAGAACAACTGCCAGGGCAATCGACCCCTTGGAAGTCTTGGAGCTTGCGGCTTGTATGGGCTTGACTGTCAGGGGAGTCGCCGGCAGAGTTGAGGTTTGTGCTGGAGTGGGAGGAAGTCGACCCTGACCCATCAGCTGCTTCTTGAGGAAAGCGTTCTCTTCAATCAGATGCTCCATCCTGAGCGTCAGGGCCGCCCGCTCCTTCTCCAGCTGCTGCACCTGATCCCACGGTCACCCTCCAGCAACAGGCGTCAGCTCTTCCTAACCTGCATCTCCAGGGCCTCGAGGTGGTTCTTCTTCCTCTGCCTAGAGAGCTGTGCGGACTCCCTGTTCTTGATCAGCCTCTTCTGCTTCTTGAGCAGCTTCTGCTCATCGGGGGTCAAGCTGCTCGGATCTCTTCCTCCCAGCGTCGCCAGGATCTCGTTGGCCTGATTGACCTCTGCTGTGGTGGGCTCAGGCCTCTTCAGGAGGGCAGGCAACCTCTCGGGCTCTTTGCGCTTCTTGCTGCCATTGAGGTTGTACACGTAGGGCTGAGGCTGCATCGGAAGGGACGTCGGCGCTGGTCGTTCATGTGCAGCCAGGCTGGTGCTCGCGCTGCTGGGTGCAGGCGCTGGTGCTGCTGGTTTCTCAGCTCCCTTGCTCTCCTCCGCCGCTGGTGACTCGTTCCCTTCCATGGAGTCAGAAAGAGAGATGGTAGTCTGGAGCCAGGCAGCCTCTTGCGGAGACTCTGCCTCCTCGCTGATGCACTGGGGAGCAGGTTTCGTCTCGTCGTAGAGGAGGAAGTCTTCATCGCAGGGAGTGAAGTCTTCGGGCGACTGGTAGATCTGGTGCAGATAGTTCAGCTCGAAGTCCCCGAGCTCCGACGTCCCAGAGCTGTCGGGCTCTGGCGAGGGCCTTGCGCCCTTCTCTGCATCTCCCGCCTCGAAGCTCGTGGTCAAGTCCACGCTCCAGTCGGTCATGACCTGAGAGAGTGGCGGTCAGAACAAGCCAACATGCTGCGGTGAGGTAGGCTAGTCCACCAGCCTCAGTTCTTCCTGTTTGTCCTGTATGTATACCCTTCCTCCCCCTCCCATCCACACACCCTTCCTTTCAACCACGCTCCAAATATCAATCTCCTGCATTTTTTCAGGTGGGGATTCTGCAGCGCAATGCCTGCTTGTGTGCTAGTGCTGCCGCCACACTCAAGACGCCACGGCCGTCGTTAGCAAATCTCACTGTGCACTGTAATCAGTCTCCTCCAGTTTCTCCTCTATCCTCCTTCACCCTCATCCTGTCTTCCACACTGTTGTTCGATGTCTCCTTTTCCTTCCTCTTCCCATCTCCTTTCCCTCCCCTCCCCCCCCCTCCTCTCTGCTGACCCATCCCACAAACGCTCCCGCCATACTGCTGATCCAAAAACAAATACCGTCCAATTTGGACTCTACCAGACTACCCCTACCCTTGATTTCAGTCCCTTGCTAGCTGAGCACCCCACTTGCTGCCCACCCCCCACCTGTTCACTTGAGGGGACATTTTGACCCAATACTACCCCTGCAGTTTCCACAATCAACTTCCACATGAGGGTAGGGTCTTCCAGTTTTTAACTTTTAAGAGTCCATCCAGTGCTTATAAAGTGGGGAGGGTAGGGTAGTATCAGAGCTCTCAGAAGTTGAATCATGGGGGGTGGTAGTATATGAGGTGTAGGGACGCGGACAAGGTGTAGCGCTCTAACGACTAGTGGGGGTGGTGTAATAAAAATCATCACGGGTGGGGTACACATGTATGGAATGTCGGGATCCGAGTGGGTAGGGGTGGTCACCAAATGGGGAGTGGACCTGAAGTTGAGAGGGCGGTCAGGATAACCAAAGCCAACCGATTCTGAAGTGTGGGTGGGGTAGTAGTATCGAAGACTATGACCACCCGTACATTTTAGACATACAAGGACGGTGCAGGGAAAATGCAGGGGGTACTGGGTGGCTTTCCATGTCCATTTATTCTTGAAGGGCAGAGCCAGGTGATCGACAGAAACCAAGGGGGTGGGTATGGATCCTAGACTTAATGCTACATAGACCGGTTATCTAGACCAACAAGTGAGAGTAAATCAATGGTGGGGTACTACTTTGTCGGAGGAACTAGAACAGGGGTAGGAAACATCAACATCTGTGTGAGTCAAAGGGGGTGGGGTTGTCCCTAAGGGTGGGGTGGTAGTTCTCTTTTTTCCACCCATGTTCGATTTGAGTTCGATTTGTTCTCCTGCACGAGACTGTGGTAAAGACGCAGCACGTAAAAGGTATTTTAAAAAATAGAATGACAACAAAGATAGAGGCTTTCACGATTTTTACATTATTTTAATATCTATATGTGTATTTACTCGGGTTGTTTTTCTGAAATTAATCCTTTCTGAATTTTATAAATTACTTTTGATATAAATGGTTTTATATCTTGTGCAAGCAAAGGTGTCTCGTACCCATTCCAGCTGGTCCCAACCGAGAGGAATCGAAAAGTTTGGTTTTCATCCAATAAACCTATTTTACTTCACCACAAATTCGGCACTGCACTCGTAGCAGCATTTCGACGGACTCGGTCTTGCCACGGCCGCCGGTGACTCCGGCCCGGGCGGCCCGGCGGCTCCCGCGGCGGGCCGAGGCGATAGTCACGGTACCCGGTACTGCGGAGCGCGCCGGGCCGTTGACGGTTTGACAACTTAGTAGGCCAGCGGCGCGCCGCCCCGGACGGTCCGGCCCCCGGGCTGCCCGGCGGCCTGTCCGACGGCCTGCCAGGGCATAGGTAGGCTGAGCCTGTAGTAGCCGGCAGTGTGCCTCAGAACCGTACCGTACCGTACCTCGGTGGGTCGGCTCGGCACGGCCGCCCGTGACGCCGTGACCGGACGGTCACTTACCGGGCCGCCGTACCTGACTGGGGAACTTTGGAACTCGGAACTCGGCGCCGGGGTCGGACTCCGGAGCAGGCTCAGAGCCGCCACGGTGCCACCACAGGCCGGCGGCCCGCCCCGGCGCGCGGGGGGGGCGGGGGGGGGTTGGGAAGGCGAGGCCCGGAAGTTCGGAACTTAACGGCGCCCGGGGCGGCCGGGCCACTCAGCGGCCATCGATCGGATCTCAAGATCTTGTCGGTACGCCCTGTGTCCAAATTGAGGCGGACTGCATTTCCATTATCCACCCCTACCCCCCCAAACATGGTAGGATAACCCCCTTCTTTGGTCCACCACACTTTTGCTTTGATCCACCCCTACCCCTCAGAAATCATCACAAATTGTGGGTGGTGGAAGGTTCGACTACCCTACCCAGGAAATAAAAATGTACCTTTGAAAGTGTGTGTAGGATTTCATACCACCGGGGGTGGATGAAATTTTATGTAGTACCGGTGATATGTTGGACAAGGCAAGATAGGGGGGAAATTGGTGGTGGGGGTGTAGAGTATAGTCCAGGAATGAGGGGTGGGGTAGTATTCTCAAGGGGTAGGTACACATTGAGGTGGGTGCTAGCGAGTTCTAAAGGAGGAGGAGGGGTAGATGGAGGAGGGGTAGTTTTTGGAGACAGGTGGGGGTAGGGTGAGGAGTCCATTTGGGACAAGATGGTATAAATTTTCTCAGTAGGGGAGGGAGCGGGGGGAAGCGAAGGAGACGAGGAACAGCAGAAAGAAGAGGAGCAGGAGGAGCAGGAGGAACGACATGCAGAAAGTAAGAGATGCTCAAGACGTGGGAAGAATGACATAGTAGACAGACCGAAGGTCGGGGGAGATCGGTCAGGATAGGAAAGAGGGAAAGCTGTACCAAATAGTCGAGTGGAGGAGGAGGAGGAGGAGGAGGGGAGCATGAAAATCTAGAAGTAATCGGTGAGGTGGCCTTGAATCTTAAGGGACAAAAGGGAGGGAAGTGGAGAAAAGAGACTGGAGCTTTCATTCCGTCGAATCCCATCGTTTTGACATTGTTTTGCTCTACCAGGACCCAGCCGTGGTGGTCGCAAAGTGATAGGTCGATGCCTCTTTTGTCTTGCTATTCAGATCTCCGATCTCGTCCTGCCCGTCTCCTCCTCCTTCCCCTCTCTGCCTTGACCGCCCAGCAAGAGCTGTAAAACCCAAGTCAATTCCTGCGCCACTCGCAGCGCAAGACATGAGATTCGTTTTGATCGCCGTCCTCGCATTCCATCTGCTCCTGTCCTGTTCCTCCAGTATCATCTCCTCTCCAGAGGCTCGCCGGCCGTCGCTCCTGCATGCTGCGGGTCGGGGTCTGGAAGAAGCTTCCCGCCAAGCAGCTTCCCGCCCGAGGAGGAGGCAGCAGAAGAGGTGGAAGTGGGTACTAATAGGCGCCGAGCAGGAGGATGTGTTCTCAATCACTCTAAGAGAGGTTCAAGGAGCGGCAGCAGGAGCAGCTGGAGCAGCAGGAGCAGGAGCAGGAGCAGGAGCAGGATGCACGGAGACGAGGAAGGTAGCAGGGTTCGAGCTGAGGGATACTATGAGGGAGGGCTGGACGCGATGCCTGACGGCAACTTCCTGCTCCGGGAGAGAAGTGGTCTTGTCCTCGGGACGGCAGATAAACGTCACGGCGTTCGAGCGCTTCGTGGAAGAGGAGCTGGAGGTAGGAGAGGAGGAGGAGAAGGGGAGGAGAGAGAAGTGGGAAGGGAGAATTTTTTGTGAAGTAGGGTGGGAGGAGGAAGGGCGGTTGAGGTGGAGAAAGGAGGAGGCAGAGAAGGAGGAGGGAGGAGGGAGGAGCTTGCTGATGATGCTGATGGCAGGGGAAGGAGGGGCACCTGATTGTGTTGGTTGACACTACCTCGAACTTGCTGAGCTTGAGCGCTGAGATCAAGAGAAGAATCGTGAAGCTTTTGTGCGATCCTTCAAGCATGGTGAGGGGAGGAGGAGGAGGCAGTGGCAGTGTTGGGGGATGGGGGTGGAGCTGGAGGATGGAGGAGAATGGGACGAGATAGGGGAAGGGGAGGGGGCAAGGGAGCCTGTGCAGGAGCAGGAGCAGGGAGAACAGAGAAAGGGCAGTGGGGTTGGAGGTAGGAGGAGGAGGAGGAGGAGCAGCAGCAGCAGCATGAGCAGGAGGGGAGAGAAGAACTGACGATACTTTGAGCAGGTTGTCGCCTGCCTTACAGAGGACTCAACGAGGATGCTGGTGTCTTGCGAGGAACTGGACGCGCAATGCGTCCTGGTCGCTCAGTCTCCCACCATGTTCAGCTCTCTCGCCCAGTTCTCCCTCCTTCAGGAGGAGACCATGGAGTGGAGCAAAGGTTGTTCTGTTTTTCAGTGTCCTCCTCCTCCTCACCCATCCCCCACTCCCCCCCCGTCTTCTACTGCTGCTCCTGCTCCTGCTCCTGCTCCTGCCCCTGCCCCTGCCCCTGCCCCTGCCCCTGCCCCTGCCCCTGCCCCTGCCCCTGCCCCTGCCCCTGCTCCTGCTCCTGCTTCCCTCTT